AGGCCTTTCAGGGTCTGGGGCCCATGGGCTTCTGCAGCTGCTTCCCCACCTTTGGCCGCTCCCCACCTTTGCTCACCAGGGCCTTCTACCTGTCCATCCCCTCCCTCAGCTGCCTGGCCAACCCAATTCATCTTTCAAGATTCAGATCAAGGATCACCTCCTCTCGGAAGCCTTCTTGGATGCCTTCCTCTCTGCCTCTGGGCTGTAAGGATGCCTGCTCTCTGACACTTTGTTGAACCCCTGACCTTCAGAGGGACGTCCATGTTTCTGTCCCTCCGTGGGATGCAAGGACCATGTCTTATTAGCTGTGACAGATAACTTCTGACATTATGTAAGCGGAGACTCAGTTTTCTCATCTGTCAAATGGAGGTAACTCCCACTTTGCGATGCTTCTGAGTCAATAATGTGACCGGCACATGAGAAGTGCTTGATAAATTACTTTCCCATCTGCTTTCTTTTGGTTGTTATTTGGCAATCGTGCTACTAGGGTGCTAGGGAGAGGGCAAAGTTCGCCCAGGAGAGATGGATGTGGTGAAGGGAAGGGGAAAAACGAAAAGAAACAGATTCAGAAGCTTGCAGACAGGCAAACATGGCAGTGCAGCCAAGAAAATTCTAGAACAGATTATTCCAAGGGTTATTGGGAGCACCTGTGGGGTGGAGGATTGGGTCCCATGTCACTCAGCCAGGACTGGCTCAGGACCTATGGGGAGATGGGCCCTGTGCCAGGGGCAGACACAGCAACTTCAGAGAGACCCAGCTTCTCACTCAGAAGGCTCATGGTCTGCTAGTGGGGACAGACATAAGCGGGTTACGATGTGTTCAGTGTTTACAAGAAGGAAACACAGTGTCACTGGAGCCCATGTGGGGAGGGGGTGGGGAGGATCGATTCCCAGGGCTGGAGGAGGGGTCAGGGAAGGCTTCTCTGAGGAGGTGGCTCACAGGCAGAGCAAGAAAGGCGTGAGCAGCCTGTGAACATCTAAAGGGCGTTTCCGACATCTGCAAGGTGTCAACTCGAGACCTGGAAGACTTTTGTCATGCTGGCGCCGCTCACAACGGAACAGGCAGTGAGGTCTCCAGCTCAGGACGAACTGGGAAGCCCAGGCCAGAGCCACTGAGGTTGGCAGTTCAAATCTGGGGGCTCCCAGCCTCTGAGGTCTGGGGGACTTCGGAGAGGAGGAAAGCCTCAGCTTCCCTGGCATGGAACCCTCTTCTCTATAGCTCCGGGCCCAGGCAGGGCCAGCAGGGTCCCCACTCATCCCCCTGCGGAGGACTTCTCAGCCACCCAAAAATACATCCTACCGGGAGGGTCTTTCCTCTACCGAGCTGAGAGGCCCTGCTCCTTCTAGTAGCATTGGGAAAGTTCACTGCAGTAACCAAGGGACAGAAAAGCAAGTGTCTGCTGTGGCTTTGGTTCCGTACAGCTGGGTCATGACAGTCCTTTCCTTATATATCTGGCTTCTGTGGGAGACTCTGCTGCTTGTACCCAAGATTTTTATTTGAGAGACAGAGAGAGATAGAGTGCCAGTGAGAGAGCACAGGCATCGGGCAAGGGCAGAGGGAGAGGAAGCAGATTCCCCAGGGCTCAGGGGATCATGACCAAGGCCACCCAAGTGCCCCACACAACCTTCAATTCTTATTTGGGAACATGGTTCCCCAGAATGAACCACAGGACCCAGCCTTCCCCATAGCCAAGAGCTCCCTCTTCCTCCTACCCCTTGTCTTTGCCTTCTGCCCAATCATTGGCACAAGACAAGTATCAAATGTTCTTAAAAGGAGGGAGGGACATGTTCTTCAACCCTTCCTCCTTCCTGCTGGCTAAACGGCAAGTTTGACGGCCGGAGCTCAAGCAGCCATCTTGGACCATGAGGTGGAAGCCATGGGTTGAAAATGGCACAAAATAAAGAGCTAAAAGCCTGCCATCCCAGCCCCCCAAGTCCCCATGCCCCCAGCTCCAGGCCAGTTATCTCCCTGTTAACCTCTGATATAAGCCAGTTGTTTTTAAAATTTGTTTTCTATTGTATACAGCTAAACCGAATCCTTCTTTACACTGCTCCTGGAAGCCCCAAGGCCAGGAGGCCCACCAGATGGGAGAGCGGCAAGGAAAGAATCCTGGTGTGGAGCACAGAGAGAGGGGCTCCGGGGAGAAAAGGCAAGTCCTCCAGAGGGTTCTGATTCCGCCACTTCGGATCCCAAGATGGACAAAATCGCTGACTCAGTCTCCTTGGGCTGCTGTGAGAACTGACGGTGCACACAGAGGAGAACGAATGAGAATTTAATACTTGTAAACATCACAAGGTGTAGATCTAAATGGTAAATGACCCTGTGGCACTGGGGACGGGAGAAGAGCAGTGGGTCAGCCGTTGAGGGATCAGCAGAGGCCGGGAGCACATGCCACAGGTGCTCCTGCGGGACGCCAGGGGCTGCGGGAGGTGGCTCATGCTCAGGGCTCCTGTCGGCCTTGGGGCAGCCCCAGGAGGAGGGTGTCTTGACTTCTTACTTTTGGGGATATGCCCAGAGAGGTCAGCACGGTAAAGTGCCCACATGGAGGCCAAGTGGCAGAGTGAGGATTCAAACCCATGCCTGCCCCCGTGCACTAATTCCTTAGGCCCAGGATGTGTCCTGCTCCGGGGGGCGGGGGGGCGAGGGCAAGGCTCACACTCCCCGCCCCGGGTTGAGCACTAGAAGCACCAGGCGAGCTTGCTAGCAGGCCCCACCCTCTGCCCAGGATGGATGCAGCCCAGCGAGGGAGTCACCCCACCCCAAGAACAGGGAGGCTAGCGGGAAGAGCCGGTGGAAGGAGCCAAAGGGCCAGGTCACAGCGCCTCCCACCCAGAAGCCCCGAGCTTCGCGTTCCCATGTCCAGGTGTGGCCTTCACGCAGGCACCAGATGGTGGGTCTGGAGGGTGACACGGGAGAGCGCCAGTCCCCCCAAGACATAGCCTACGGAGCCCCTGTTCCTGAGCCTCCCCAACGGCAGCCCTCCCTGGGCTGAGCAGAAAGAAGACCTGCTTGGGACTTCAGCTCCCCTCCTGCCAGCACCCCCACCCCCACCCCCACCCCGGGGCCAGGTGGGACTTGTTGCTTCTCCTGTCACCTTCCCCGTCACTCACTGGTCCCGAGCTGGGTGGGGAATGCTCCTGGAACTCACCCGCTCCCACCACTTCAGTTCCAGATGAGGAGACAGTGAGGCCAGGAAGGGAAAGACCCAGAGTCGCAGACAGTGAAGGGCGGAGTCTGGCACCTGCCCCCCGGCCCCCGGCCCAGCAGCGGCTTCTTGCAGCAGCGGGGTGACTGGATTCTACAACTTTCTCACACCCACAAGGACACTGCTGGACCGTGAGGGTGGACCCCCTCGCCTGACCGTTTCATCCACCTCAGAAGCCGGCCCCGGCACGTGGCGTCAGGGACAAACAAGACCACGAGCGTGCTCAGTTTCACAATCTGATGATGGCTCCGTGGGGACACCGGTGGGAAGATGCCCAGGATTCGGCTCTGAAGGCTCCTCCCGCCGGGAGCCACCTCTCAGCTGCCTGCCCCCTCCCGAGTCCCAGCTCCGGGCCACAGGTGCTGGCCTCCTAGGCCTGGGCCGCAGAGTCACCCCCTCGGGGCTGGGTTCCTGGGACTGCCAAGCTTTCAGCCCGGGCTGGGCACGGCCTGGTTCTCGGGGCTCACTCTGCGCTGTGCCGGGCCATGCCCGTCAGCCGGCGGCGCTGGGTCTTGCTCGTACGAGTGGCACTTGGGGGCTTCTTGGTGGAGTTCGGAGCCCGTCGGGGACGTTTCCTCTTGGTCTTCTTGCGGCTGCGTGCGTGCAGTGACGCCGTGAGAGCGGAGATCCTGTAGGAGGGTGCGAGGCTGGTGAGGCTGGGGCTGCATTTACTCTATGGAGACCGGGGCGTGCATGGAAGGTTGGGTTGGGGGAGGACGGACTGCCTGACTCACGGAGGAAGTCAGTACAGGCCTTGAATGCTCGGAGTACCAAATCCATGCCAAAGGCAGCTGCTCTGATCCCAGAGGGCCTGCCAGTTCCTCGGCTCATAAAAAGCGCCCTTACCACAGGCACTAAGGGCACCCAGGGATGGCCACTGTTGGGGAGTAGGGATGGGGAATAGGGAGGACGGACACTCGACAGGCAGAGCAGAGTCGCTGCCCCATGCCACCTGCCACAGGCCAGCCAGAGGTGGCTCCACCGGCCCCGTCACCACTGTCAGTCATAAGGAAGCAGAAGCCTAGGGGAGGACAGGCCAGGGCTCACCGCTGGGACAGGAGGGGATCTCTGGATTTCCGGGGTAAGGCTCTGGTCGGCTTTTCCGTGGAGGTCACCTCTTCCTCGGGCCTGTGGCCAGTCCCTTGCTAAAGAAGCAGAGAACAAGGACTGTCACACAGAGCGGTAGATCGCGGGGCCTGACACCAGCTGTCCTGGTTCTGCCGGAGAGGGGCACGGCCTGCTGCGTGGAGGCCTGGCTCAGGGCTCAGAGAAGGCCACGGTGGACAAGCCACGCACAGCCCTGCAGCAGAGATGACGCCAGAAGAGCCGAGTTTCCCAGCCTCGTGCCCCTCTTCCTCCAGCTGTGAGCGTCTGCACGTCTGCTGCAGAGGCCGGGAGGACTCAGAAGAATGAGCGTGAGATAGAGAAGGAGCGGGAGCGCAGTAGGGACGCCAGAAGCGCTGGCTCCGGGCTCCCCCGTGACAGGAGACGTGCTTTGCAGTGGACTGGGGATGGACAGGGACTGAAATGCCCACCCCACCCAGACGGACGATGCTCCGTTTCGAGAAATGGTACTTCACTGGGAGGCTTTCCGATTCTTTTAGTGACATTCTGCTCTATTTCTTTCCTTTCTTCTTTTTAACTTTTAAGACCTTTTAATTTTGTTTTTGTTGCTGTTGCTGTTTTGAGAGCTTATTAGGTGGTGCTGACCGTGTTAACATTTCGCTTGCGCTCCCAAAGCCTCTCCCTCGCTCATGCTCCCCAGCAGCTTGTCCCCGCCACCGAGGGGGAACACCCGGGTCACACCAACTCAAGCAAAACAACTCAACACGCTGCTGCTTCACCTGAAAGCAGTGCTTTCCTCTGCCCTTTCTGGAAGGCTCCGTGGCTCCCGAGTCAGGGCCCACCGAGTGCTTTTAAAAAGGGGATCCTGGGGCACCTGGGTGGCATAGTCAGTTAAGCATCTGCCTTCGGCGCAGGTCATGATCCCAGGGTCCTGGGATCGAGCCCCACATCAGGCTCCCTGCTTGCCAGGAAGCCTACTTTTCCCTCTCCCACTCTGCCTGCTGTGTTCCCTCTCTCGCTGTGTTTCTCCCTATCAAATAAATAAATAAAATCTTAAAAAATAAATAAATGAAAGGGGGATCCTTTTTTCTTTTTTAAATGTTGGTTGCAGGGGCACCTGGGTGGCTCAGTGGGTTAAAGCCTCTGCCTTCAGCTCAGGTCATGATCCCAGGGTCCTGGGATCGAGCCCTGCATCGGGCTCTCTGCTCAGCGGAGAGCCTGCTTCCTCCTCTCTCTCTCTCTGCCTACTTGTGATCTCTTTCAAATAAATAAATAAAATCTTTAAATAAATAAATAAATAAATAAATAAATGTTGGTTGCAATCTGCGAGTATCTCCCTACTCACAGCTTGCAAACTCACCGTTCGTGCACATGGCCGGGCCATGTTGCTGCTGTGCCCACGTACTGGAGTGACCACCACACACTACTATCACCGGTGCTTCCCTTGGATGAACCACTTTTACACTCTCAGCAATCCCACGAGACAGGTGTTAGCATCCAGGACTCCCCCGCCGCACCCCCTCCCAACTTACTGGCGAAGACACCTGCCCACCTGTCGACAGCCGCTGAGTCACAGAACCGGCTTCGACAAGCCCCAGGGTCAGGGATTTTGTCCAGGCCGGAAAGAGTGCCCAGGAGGGAAAGAGCCCCTCACACTGGAATCCCCGTAACGGGGAGCGGCACTCAGCACCACCAACAGGCCCATCTGCACCTGGGACCCATCTTGCACCTGGGCTGGAAGTTACACCCACCTCTGGTGGGGGCAGTCCCAGCAGCCGGGCCCCCGAGAGGTCTAGGTCGCTGATGGTGGTCACGGTGACTGTGTGGTTGGGGTGGTCATACTGCACCGACTCCGTCTTCGCTGTCACCAGCCTGTCCAGTTCATCTGCCTCCTCTGCGCAAGGTGGGCACAGAACTGGGTCTCAGCCTCAGAGCACACGTAACCGGACTCTCACCCCCTGCCCAGCCCTAGAGTGCAGTGGCCCCTCTCCTCTATGGGAGACTGTCCAGGAAGTCACCGGCTCCAGAGTCCGGCCCACAGACAAATGTAAACGACTCCACTCCCCCACTGATGCTCCGGGGAGACCTCAGACCATCTGGTTCTCATCTAGGACGAACCCGGTGTGACCCCAGCAGCTGCTGCTGCCCCCTCCTCTTGATCCCTAGTCCGTCCAGGCCTCCGGAACTGGGCTTTCTGTTCAGGGTCACTTCACCAAGAGGCTGGTCCTCCCTGTGTCTGATCCACTCACTTATAGAGGTCACTGAAGACCACCCCTGGCCCTTGCCTCACCACCAAGACCCCTAGAGCTAGGGAAGTTAGCTTCTGACCAGTCCCCACACCTCTCCGCTTCTACCCACCAAAGGATAAATAAGCCTAGGCCTGTTGGCCTGACCCCCAAGGTCAGGGCAAAGACGGGACTTACCTAGGGCCTCCTCTCTCTCTGCCAACATCTTCAAGTATTCCTGACGCCGCTGAAACCAAAAGGGAAGGGAACACAGTGAGTGTGGCCTCTCCTGCCAACTCCAGGCAGAAGCGCTGCTCATCTCCCGCGTGAGTGAGACCCGGAATGACTGACTCCTGGTGAAACACCAGAAGATTCCATCCTCAACCTTCCCCAGACCAGGGCCCACCATGATTCTAGCTGTACAGACTGTTCCCCACGCCTTCCCTCATTCCTGCAGACACCCCTATTAAGGCCATCCAAGGATGTAAATCCCTTAAGAATCAGATTTTATACACACTCTCTCTCCCTCCCTACCCGCCTTCCCGCACCCTTCCCCGCCCTGTGCACCTCCTCCCGGAGCTTCCTCTGCTCCTCCTTGAGCCGATGCCTGATCTCCTCAGTGGCTGCCTTCTTCCGCTCTACCTTCCTCTTATGGAAGCCAGTCAGGTACTCCCTACAGGAGAGAGGCATGGAAGAGTCAGGAGGAGACACAAGGAAAGAAAGGCTCATGCCAGGAAGAGAAAAACCACTAACAACATACGCTACAAAAATGTACACAGAGGCGCCTGGATGCCTCAGTCAGTTAAGCGTCTGCCTTTGGGCAGGTCAGGGTCCCAGGGTCATGGGATCGAGTCCCATATCGGGCTCCCTGCTCAGCGAGGAGTCGGCTTCTCTCTCTCCCTCTGCTCGTCCTCACCCCTACCCGTGCTGCTTCTGTGTGCCCGCTCTCTCTCTCTCAAATAAATTTTTTAAAAAGCGTATGTCTTACCTCACGTATTCCTCACAACCTATGTGGCAGGTACCGATCCCCGTTTTACGCATGGGGACACTGAGGCACAGAGAAGCTAGGCTATTTGCCAAAAGTCATAGAGAGTGTAAGGTCAGGAGAAAGAGAGAGATGTTGCCTCTTCCACCCACCTCCCTCCAGGGTTCTCAGCCTCAGGTAACAGGGCCAGGTACGTGGGCAGGACAGGTGGGGCCCGTTCTATGTTGCCAGATTCCTTGACCCAGTCAATTAAGCCGCTTCTAGTAGGCTCTTAAGGACACCCTCACACGGGGAGCCTGGGTGGCTCAGTGGGTTAAAGCCTCTGCCTTCGGCTCAGGTCAAGATCTCAGGGTCCTGGGATAGAGCCCCGCATCAGGCTCTCTGCTCAGCAGGGAGCCGCTTCCCCCTCTATCTATGCCTGCCTCTCTGCCTACTTGTGATCTCTCTGTGTCAAATAAATAAAATTTAAAAAAAAAGGACACCCTCACCCTGACGTCCACAAACTTTCCACTGGACCGGCACCCCATTTCCGCAGGACACCTGCTCCCCGACCCATCTGTAGGGCCCGTGGGTGCCCGCGCACCCCGCATTCCCCTCCCCTATCTGATCTGGGCTCCTTCTCATCTCTCTAGTGCTGGCTGCACCATTTCCAAAGGTTCTGGGGCCCCAACACTAGGCTTTTCGCTAACTACCACATGGCAAAGTGGCGCTCTGAGCGGGAAACATCTGATGGACCCGACGCTGAGGCTTAGGGGTGCAGCTCGGGGGTCCTGAGATCTGGGACCCACACATCGAAGGAACTCAGGACACGTGTGATGAGGGCGTAAATCAACTTAAGCGACGCTCATCTCACTCCCTCTTCACTCATCAACAACAGCTGAGTCTACCGCGTGGGGGGCCGCCGGGCTGGGTCCGGGACGTCGACGCCTCAGCTCCGGGTCCCCAAACCCGCCCTCCCGCGGCGAACACAGCAGGAGCCTCGCCAGCCCGAGCACCGACCGAGCAAAGGGAGGGCGGGGCGGGCGATTCCATCCCCTGGGCGCGGGGGCCGAGCGTGGCCGCTTCCATTCCACAGGGGAGGGGGATGTCGGAGAGGAACCGGGCCACGCTGGGAGGGCGGGGCCGGAAGGGACCTCTGCGTGAGCATCAGCCGCCCGCCCCGGCCAGCGGCCCCAAGGAAATCCGCTCCAGCCTTGACACTCACCGCCGCTTTTCTTCATCAAAGCTGAGAACGAGCCGCGGCCGCCGCTCGTCGCCATCTCGCTTCTTCTTCTTGTTGCGGCCCATAGCAGCGAGGCCTCCGGCGGCGCGGTTCCAGCACGCCTCAGAGACTTCCGGGTGTATCCTTCTTAGCCTCTCGGGCACGTTTCGCACTTACGCTCCTCAGATCCGTTGCTCAGGCCCCGCCTTTTAAAGGGGCCGCGGAGCCCGCCTCCCGGTACCTGCCTTCTGAGTGTAACAATCAGATACCTACCCCTCCTCGGTGATTCCTAACCCCAGTACCTCTCCTAGGCCAGCAACGGTGAAAGAGACGTCCCAGAGTTTAGCACGGTGCCTGGGCACGCAGTAGCCGCTCCATACGGAATTATTAGCAAATGGCCAAATATTACTGATCGTACTTCTAATTCTGATGTCAAATCGTTAGTGGTCTCCAAGAACCCATTTCTGGCGCCACACTCCCTGGATTAGAATCCTGGTACTCCCAGTTACAGCTGTGGTTCTGCACCGATTGCCTTCGCTTGGCCACAATTACCCTATTTGTAAAATAGGGATAATTACAGTGACTTCGGTAGGGTTGTGCAAGACAATGGTTTTCAAACTTTGGCGTTTATCAGGATCCCCTGGAGGGCTTGCTGAAACCCAGACCGCTCGGCCCCACCCTAGAGTTTCTGATTCTGCGGGTCTACAGTGAACCCCGTAATCTGCAACGCTAAGAAGTTCTCAGGGGATGTTGGTACTCCTGGCCCACGGAACACACTGAGAACCACAATGAGGAGGACACATGAGTTGTGTAACATTGCGTGTAAGTAACACGTGCCACACTTGTGTTTGCTGCACAAGACATCTCCCCTCTCTGTGCCTCCGTTTCCCCAGGTGTGGCATGGGGGTGTCATAATAACACAACCTTTATGGAAGATGAGCGCGGGCGTGTAAAGGCACTCAGTAAAACACCACCTGAAGGGGAATCTTAGTAACTGGGATCGCATGCCTGAACACCCCACTCTCAATTTTCATCCCTACAGCGGCGCTGCGGAGGGACGGCTGCCCTAGCTTTGAAGGACTGGCCAGTCTGGCAGGGCTGGTGATCATTACAGCGCAGGGCATGGTACCTCTCCCGCGGGGAGCCCAGGAGGCTGCCGGAGCGCCACCAGAGGAAGTGACCCCAGAACGGGCTGAGAGTAGGGATATCTGAGGAATATCAGACTCTTTAAGCCGCCCCCCCCCACTTCTCCTTGGACAAGTGACTGGGGCCTGAAGATAAGTAAGCATACATGTATTGAGCACCTACTGTGTGCCAGGCACCCAGAGAAGGGACCTACCTGTTCTCTCAGAGAGTGGAGGCAACTTGTCAGGGGTTACAGGACTAGTCTGTCTCCTCCTGTGCTGAGGAATGTTCTCAGGGTCTCCTGTGGATTATTCCAGTGAATCCT